TGTGGAGACCACCACTAACACCGTCGGTCCTATCACTACGACTACTGCTACCACAACTAGAGTGACAACTACGACTATTGATACCACAACTAGAGCGACCACTACGACTACTACCACCACTCCTAAAGCCACCACTACGACTACTACCACAACTAGAGCGACCACTACGACTACGACGACCACTAAAGCGACCACTACTACTGCTGCTTCTCCTGCATTCGGTGGTCATTACTGCGGTAGCATGATGGGCCAGAGTTTCACTGTTGACTTTGCCTCTAATGGCCGCGCTACCATCAATGTGATGGGTATGTCTGCTGGCGCTGATTACACCGTTGATGGTGATGATATCGAGTTCTCTAACTACGATCCTATGCTTGCCAAATTGATGCAACAGTTCCACATCAAGAAAATTGATGCCACCATCATCAGTCCCGATTCCGTTCATATCAAGATCGGTTTCCTCCTTGACACCACTATCACTAAGTGCTAAGTTGTCTGTTTGACTCGTCTTCGTCTTGTCTACCACCATTCTCTTGAATGAATTTGCCAAACTTGTTGTAATTGCGTTGAATTGGGCGCATCAGACAATAAAATTAACGGTCTCGAGTTGCACTGGTTTCGCGTGCTGCGCGTCAGTGTCGAGTAACCCATTAACCATCGCGGCGTTGCCCCATATACTTAACGGCACGAAGTTCATGCATTTCCCCTCTCTGATTTGCTTCAAAACTCAAATCTGGGACGAGAATCATATGAAGTTCTTGTGATCATTCGTTTCTGAAAATGATCCTCATCGGATCACATAACCTTATACTGAACATTTCCAGACTTAACAGAGTCTGCTGAACACACTCAACTAACCTGGGTCAATCTGGTAGCATCCGTCCTGATGCCACATTGGACACTCAAGAGGCCATTACAGATAACCGTTGAGACCAGCATCATGCGTCAAGCATGCACTATAACAGCTACATGATTACGACAATGAACTGAATAACACAGCGCCATAGTCTATTACAAACGAAGAATAATTAATGTACTAATAGCAATCAATGACCACTATATGTAAACCCGTCGAGACCAGCCCGACATTTAGCTGAGCCTCTCCTCGCCTCCTCAGCTGTACCAGCATCTCCCTTACGTTTTCTTCTAGAGGGAGTGATCCGTGCCGGACTACGATGGCCCTCCTCAACTCCCCGGGTCTTGAGGTAGTCCATAACGTCCTGGCCACAATGGGCCGCCTCAGCGACATCCACGATGGTGTCGCCAGTAAGTTTATCCACCACTTTCAAGTTACACCCTATCCGTCCAACTAACTTCAATGCTGCTAAAGGATGGATGCAATCAATGCACCTATTCCGCGTCATAACATTGCCAGATACACAAACCTTACCGTCTCAACAGTTCAAATGGTCTCTGTTGGACCATCTGCCCTAGGCCAACCAATAACAGGTTTACATCTGGCCACACTTTCAGAGGTAACCGTGCTTCCAATTGCTGTCTGGTCGCCTCGGGCGTCTCTGAAAGGGAAGCCTTTGGCAAAGGAGGAAGGCACCGCTAGGGAGTACTAGCATTCTTGGTCCATCCCAGCATAGCAGCGATGCGATGGACATGGGTATCCACACAAATACCAGCATCACGATGTCCATGGCCTATCTCCATCACCTACAGTAATGTATAAACAACGGGGGAAGGGATGAGGCATGCCTCACCAAGACAGCCATCTTAGGGCCAACTCCAGGTAAACTGAGAAGGTCTTCCATAATGTCTGGTACCTACCACTACCTTTTTAGTCAACGATCGAGAGCGGTGAATCACGAATCGTCCACAAGATGGCTCACATTAGGATTGAAGGTTATTTCTATGCATCCAAAGGGATGGCTCACACTCCATCCACTCTCTCAATAGTTGAATATTGGAATGTGAACCGAGATGACTCGTATAGCGGAGGCGTCACGGCAAATTTCCCCTTGGTTAGGTCAGAGACGTCTTTTACGTTTTCAAGACGCCGTTTTGAAGGGTCTACATTCTGATTACCGTGATAATTAGGCACTGTAGTTCCGTCGTGATTTCGTCGTCGCTGAGGCTGGGGCTTTCCCCCTAGTGATCATAGCTCATACTTCTTTCGATGTCGAGACCTACGTATCCCAACTCCTCAATTGACCTTTACTACGATCAGGCTTCGGCGAATGACACATCGGCTAGAACGGGACTCATGATATCGAGGCAATCGTCTATTCCCAAGTCGCTGACCGTAGACATTGCCTCAATAATATAGATGGGCAGCGTAACGTTTTTTACGGTTTACGTTACGGTGTGCGTAACGTAAGCAGGTTACGGTCACGAAAAGGCCTTATGACTTCACGGTTGGTGCTGAACTGCTTTTTTGGAATTGTGGCAGGAACATTCGCTGTAATGCACTCCACGATTATCGTGGAGTGGAGCTATCTAGCCCATATAGTTGTTAAACTCA